TAGTATTTGAGCAACCAGATGCCTAGAAAAGCTAGTTATTTTGAGTCTAGTAAGCGACCAGAAACAGTCTTCTATTCAAAGCTTAATAACCTGAAGGAACGGCGGTGACGCGGATGGAATATAGTTGAAGCCTTCCTGATTATCGCTTCGGGCTTGCGGCGTCTGCTCCGTAGGAGCGACATGAACATCCACCGTCAGCCTTTCGACATTTGCTGGTCTTGCGCGGCCACTTGAACCTGAACTTGTAGAATGTTTTTTTCGACTTCTTGATACACGATAACCCATTGCCTAAAATATTCAAAACAGAAAATTTTTCAATAAGTGATATTTTTATTATTGTTACAGTAATAAATAGGTTTGGTACCAAACCAACAGGGCCGTTTGCCCTGTGTATATTGATTCGCTGCAGTGCAAAAACTTTCAGTGATATTCCAAGATTTCAAGGGATTGTACAAAGTTATTTTGGGAGATGGCATTTTATTAATTGGAAAAAGACAAAAAAAGAACTGTGTAAAAAAAACAAACAAATTCATCAATTACAGGATCGACTGATTGCTTTACCAAGGGGTTACCATCATCTCACATTTATAAAAGACTTTAGTATAATTTACCTTCAGAATATCACTTTTGCACATCGGACACGTACGGTGCTCTAGAAGCCATAAATCTACACAAGTTTTGTGGAAAACGTGCCTAAAAAATAGTGTTTATTACAGATAAAACAGTTCTAGTGCAACTTACACAACTCAACTTTACTTCAACTCATAAATCACTTCAAACACTGTAAAACCGATTTGGAGTTCAAAAAGAAAATGTATTCAATTTGCTGGGATTCCCGTTTTACTGTTACTCTCAAAGAATTCTTAAGAGGACGAGAACACAAAGTAAAGACATTAATAACATCTTATTTTTGTAGACGAAAGCTAAGGTAAACAAAAAATGAAAATAAAAAACTTACTTGCACGGCAAGGAACGTATAATGTCACCGGTCTGATACGGATCAATGCAAACTGGGCAATCTGCATCTAACTCTTTATCGCCGACACGAACAGAACGAGTCGGAATTTTTGACAATGCTCGTTTTGCCGCATTGAATAAACGGCGTTGTAGACGATCTTTTGCATTAGCATATCGAAATCTACAAAGAATCACTACGGTATAAGCGGATACCGAGAGAAACCGGGATAGTTAGGTTTGGTACAGAGAAATGAAGTCATAAAAGTTTGGTGCTACGGTTTCCCTCACCAGTGACCTTTTTATACTTTACTGGTTGAATTATTGTATTCTATCGCCCCCATAATATTACCCTGGCTTATAATGACAACAGTGTCATACCTTAATACCAGGAACCTAATGTTTAACAAAACTTCACGGTTCCTCTGTTTTCCAAATAAGGGTGAAGTAAAATAACAAAAAAAAATTTTTGAAAAGTTAAGAAAAAAGAATATTAATGTTTCACAGGGATAATGAAGGACAGGTGGCTACGAGTCTAACTGTTTTTGTAGTAACTTTTCGCTCTACAATTACTTCGTTTTGGTTGAGTAAGCAAGCGCGATAAAAATAAAGTATTTACAGGAATAAACAGAAACAGTCTTGCTACGTTTCTAATCATTAATAACCTTTTAATTAGTAAAAATAGGCATAAGATTTATAAGTGCAATTTTGTTCATTTCTCGATAAACTGTCAACTTTGTCTTATTATAAATATAAAAAGTTAAAAAGCACTAACATTTTTTTTCAACTCCTTCTAGAAATGCATGAGAATCTATTGATAGCTCAGTAAGTCAACATTTTTTACTTCCTAACGAGGTAAGTGAAGTTGATATGAAAACAGCCAAGTCTGCACTAGATAAACTAGTTCACCCTGCTAGTTGCAACAATAACATATCAAATTTCATTATCCTCACTATAGGGTAATAGTTTTTATCCACTGTCTCACAATCATCTTTTTCTAAACAACTAAAAGAGTCTGCAAAATTTCTATTATTAAACTTCTTTCCGTAGCAGTGATAGCTATTTATTTAGGAGCAGAAATCCAGCAAAGCACTATGGGAAGAAACCCTTATGACCTTTCTGGAATGGAAAAAAGAGATGAGATGCTGAGAACTCGACTTATTGCTTATGACAACCTTCAACAGTTGCCAGTAAAGCCTCTAAAAACTGTGCTAAATGTATAGTATTAAACATTGAAACTGTCAAAAAAAAAAAAAAAAAAAAA